GACCTTTTAAGCTCTAAAACTAGTGCTAGAGAACAGGGAAGCTAAGCTTAAAATGTAGAAATTCTGTCACCTCTCTGGCTTCCTCCTGGAAATATATCTACTAAACCTGTCAAACTAGTCTTCCTTCTAGTCACACAACTAAACTAGTCTTCCTTCATTTCACAGTGCCGTTCAACCTTTGCCTGGCAATTAGAATTGTCTTGGTTATTCTTGGGTAACCTTGGGCTGCTTTCATGACTAGAAATCCCAGTTGCTTCCCAGAAGCACATGTTGTGCTGTGGGACAGCTAGAGAAGCAGTAAGAGAAACTAGCATTGATTGTAAAATCAATGCATTCATTTATGTAGTTTTACTTAATATTCAGTGGCTGTGCAAGTATAAAATTTTCATTAATAGCTTGTTCGTTTGCAGCAACAACACACCTGGAACCTGAGTAATATTTTGTACAACTGGCATCCAGTCACAGCTCTCAGTGCTTTGTTGCTATGGACATGTTGCTCTGCAGCACATAGGGTAATAGTTTGCTGTGTGATTGAGCCCTGAAAAACATAGAGTGTTTGTGGAAGGCATGCGTTTAAATAATTCTAATTAATAACTCCCTATCAGAACTGGAAGAGACACGGGTGGTGCAGTGCTCACTCTGTTAAGCCGTGCCTGCACTACTCTGAGTCAGGATTTCACTTGAACAGCTGTGTTTTAACTGCAATGGAGCTGTATGTTTTTCCAAAAGGGGAAATCCGTGGGGGAAGTCTTTGAGTAATTATGTTGTTATTACTCCATAATCTCTCTCTTTTCTATCAACAGCACCGTTGCTGTGGTGTCTGGCTCATGGAGAAAGAGCAGGGCTTGCTGGGGAATGGGAACAAAAGTTTTTTTTTAAAGGGGTGAAAGAGACTTTTTACTAAATAATACCTTGTAAAGAGGGACTGATAGTCATATTAGCTAGAGATAATATTGGAAAAGAGGCTTTATGAAGGCCTTTGTACTAAAATATTGCATGCTGGTTCATGAGCAGATGGCAGCCTTCTAAGAGAAAGCCTAATCAGGTTACTCGATGATTTTCATTTTATGTTTTTTTTTTTTATAACCTAGTATTATCTATTTATTGTGTAATCTGGTAGACTCACAACGTAACAAATATCTAACTTCTGGGAATTATCCACTTATAGATTTTGGTATTTTCACATAAAAAACATTATTAATGGAAATCCACCTATTTTAGATACTGCAGAGTTCATTTGCAGCATTTTGATAAATGATTCAATTTTCAGTGCAGGGAAAAATGTATTTAACTCCAAAAACATTGTCTTAAATGCCTTAATAATAGTATCCACTTTGGAAAATTCTCTTTGCTTCTGAAGGCCTGATTCACGTTCCACTGATGATAACAGAATAATTTCCATAAGCTTTAGAAGAAACTTAGAGATTATTTCCACCAGATTTTTTTTAACAGTATTTGGACAATTCAGAAGACTGCAATTAAAAATCCCAGAGCGTATCTAAGTGCTAAATTCTGTTTGAAATAAATGGAGGTGATGAAAACCTCCTCAGATGCCTGTTTACATGTTCAGATACTCAGAAGAACTGTGTGTATAAAATGATGTATCTCCACTGCTGCCTGTCCCCATCCTGTCAAGCCGTAGCCTTTGGTCAGGCAGCATGTCATAGACATGACTTGTGGTTTCAAAGGCCCAACTCAACTTCACTGTCAGATCAATCTCTTCTAGTCTCTGGCTGCTTTTGTGGTGAAGATATCACTGAAATGTTTGTAGGACAGTTGTAATATCAAATCACAGAACCACAGAATGCTTTGAGTTGGAAGGGACCTTAAAGATCATCTCGTTCCAACCCCCCTTCCATGGGCAGGGTCAATTTTCACTAGACCAGGCTGCTCAATTAATCCACCATTATAACTACTTACTACTTGCAGACATACACGTGTTTTATATATTGGCTGCTGTTGCCTCCAGGCTCCCACTTTTAAAAATTCTGCTATTAAAACACATGATTTAAAGTGC